TTCGGATCACAGGCCCACCTCTCTAACCTCTGCGCCACCACTCCCCATAAGTCTTACAGTGTGAATAAACTATGTATATCAAATTATATTAATTTTGTTTTCTTAAAATATCTAATCATAATTTGTACTTTGTATATGTTTGCTCCCTAAGTTACGTTGTAGTGCATCTATTATCTGTTATGTTTATTTCGTGCTGCTGTTGTTCACTGTATTGTTTTTGTACTACTAGTGCTTAGCGTATTTCTTAGTTCATATCTTAGATCTTATTACTGTTTTTCTTTACAAGTTATACTTTTGTTGGATCCTGTGTACACAATTTTGTTCCACCACATGTACCATATGAGATGCAAATAACAATAAAGAAACCTTGACCCTTGAGCTTAAACTTTTTTTTTTCATCTTTTTAAACTCTCTCTCTCTTTTCAGGCTGGACTAAAGTTGGTCCCCCTTCCAACTGAATTTGGTGTTCAGTGACTCAGAGAGCCAGACGGGACCGTCCAAAAGATTATTTTGGTCCAGGATCGGCCTCTCCCACCCCACCGGTCACTCTGACAACAGCCTGCCAGCCAGTTGATCCCTTGAGCGGGGGAGTCATTGTACAAAGGTTTTTTCCTTTCTCTGAACCCCAACAAAACTTTTCATCTGGACCTTTGTGGTTCTACTTGGTTCCGACAAGGATCGCATTCGCTGGGTGCTATTTTGCGGGCTTTCTGCTGGACTGGCTCCTCGTGGTGTCTATATTTGGTGTGTGTCCCTGTGTCCCCAAAAAGGACTAGAACCGAACTGAGCTGGGCTGTGAGGGATTTCGTCCTGAATAGAGTCAGTCTCAGCCTCAGTGAGCAGCCGTTACTTTCATACGAAGGACTGTCCACCTCCATGGGAATTGCTGTGTTTGCCTGGAGGAAACACTCTCATGCTTTGAAGCGTTGGAACTGGACCAGAACAGAACTGGGCCAAAGACGACGTAAGCCTCTCCGGTCAGTTCTTGTCTTTGTTTGCCAGAGGTAGCCTCTTGTGCTGTGAAAAGCCAAAGCCGGACCGGAGCAGAACCGGGCCAGGGACGACTCCAGCCTCTCCGGTCAGTCTCATTGTTGTTCACCGGGGGTGACCTCTCGTGCTGTGGGGTGCGGAGGAGCAGCCCTGTGGAGCAGTGCCGACATAGGCGTCGCAACCATTATATGTGAAGGGGACAAGTCCCCCCCACATTAAAAAAACGTTTATTTGGACCCCCCCTCACTTTTACTATGAAACATTAGTTCAGGCGGCGCAGTTTCTCTTTCTTCGTGAACGAATCCATTCCACTTAATTAATAGGAGAATATTCAAGCCACTAAAACTCCACTCCAGGTTTTCCTGGTTACCTCCACCTCTCCACCGTCCCTTCTTGCCTCTTGCCTCGGCAGAAAACGCGCACAGGTGGAGGAGGTGGAGGTACCTGTGTTCCTCGCTCACCAGTTTAGAGAGGTTAGTGCAGGCAGCTGTTGACCAGGGGGTTGATCATAAACATATAGTCATGTTCGGAGGATGCTTGAGAGGAGCTACGTCTGTAGCATCTTATCTTAGCAGTAACTGTGACGCTGTAAGATGCTGCAGGTGGAAGAGACTCTGTGTGTTCAGGTGCATTAAAGCTGAAATGTCTCTAAACCCCCACACCTTATTGTCCTCAAGCTTCATGAGAAACATCATTTAGATGAGTAGTGTTGAACACAAGTAAAAAAGTCCAGTGGTGATGATTTTTATTTCTCTATAAAGACAAATAGTGCTGACCTGACGCTCTGTGTTAAAGTGTATTAAAGTTAAAATGTCTTTAGAATCCACAGATGAATTTACACAAACTTGGTGAGAAACATGTTTAAATGTGTGGAATTAAAGGAAATCTAGGTGAAATGCTGCTTTTTTTGTACACTAGTGAACACCTTTTTTTACGTGCACACACACGTGCACATGCACGCACACACACACACACACCTACACACATCATTGTGTCCCCCCCACATTACGGATGCTTCTGATGCCCTTGAGTGCCGAGGAAGCTGTTCGAGAGAAAACTTGAGTCTGCATCGGAGTTTCTGCTGGCTTCCATCCAAACTCACCTGGATAATAATTCAGATCCATGCAGGTCCACTGGCTCAGAACGAGTCAGCTGAAGGTTTTGTTTCTGGATCATGCTGATGTCATCTTTTGATCTGAACTAAGTCAGGACCATGCCTTGCCATTTGCCGTGGATTATCAGCTTCTACCTGATGGTACTGGACCCAGCATCTGTTCACCATGAGAGCAGCTTGAGAGTTTCATCTTCACAGGGGTTCTCCCCTCTGTCCAATTCAAACTCAAGTTGGACCACAATGTCAGACCTATTGGCCCATTTGATCTATGAAGCTGCCTGGTGTGAGTCTTTTCTGCATCAGTCCCAAAATCCACATCATTTTCAAAGTTCTGACTATCTGGGGTCATCGAACCTTGTTAACACATCTGCACCTACCTTTCCCTGCAATCTTCAATGTTTCTGGGTTCTGGGTATCATGTCTTTTTTAACTTTTCTCATGGTTCGATTATGGGGGCTAATTGTCACACTATTAACTCCTGTCATTACACATCTGTCACAAAAAATACAAGAAAATGTCTGATAATAATGTTGTTTCTGCTGTCAGGGATTCAGCCCAACCCTGGACCCCCCACTCATTACAGTACACCAAATTATTTTAAAAACATGTCAGGACTTCATTTTCTGCATGTAAATGCACGTAGTCTTTTGAGAAAACTTGATACTTTGAAAATTCTGGTCCGTTCTTCTGGAACAGATGTAATCTTCATCTCTGAATCCTGCCTGAACAAATCTGTCTTGAATAATGACTTGGCAATCGATGGATTTACTATCTAGCACTATACTAGCTCTATATATTTGTACACATATACATACACACATACATACATACACACAACTTCAAAATAACAAAAATTCTCACCCTGTACTGAAAACAGTTTCAGCGTCTCAGCGCCACCAGCTGGTGAGAGGTGGTGACGTCAATTTGAACCCCACCCACTGGAACCGGTACTGAAAGCATAATGGAAACACAACCTGTACCGTACCTGTCACAATCCTCAAAGTTTAGACCCATTTGCAGGCAGGCGAGCGAGGCAGGAGTTTAAATAAAATAATTTATTTAAACAACAAAACAAAACGCTGTCGATGCAGCAAAACTTACTCTGGCAAAGCAGGATCAAGAACAAGACTGAACAGGACATCAGAGTACACAGGCAGAGCAGATCATCAGGTGGA